TTCTGATTGATTAAAAAAGGGTAAAATGCACAAAATAGCAATTTACTTTCATAAATTTCTTTATTATAGTATTGTACTTTCAGTTTTTCTTATTATAGCAATGTACTTTGAAAATTTTATCTATTATAGCATTGGGTAACCTTTTAATTTAGATTTACCCATTATACTAGGTTTCTATGCTACCTTATTGTCCATGTAAGTTGACCACATGTATTATAGTGATGTGATTTTCTTATTACGTCATTGTACTTTCAAAATTATTTTATTATAGCATCTACATCTACTAGTTCTTATTAAACACTGTATTTTTAATTTTAATATTTAGATATTTTACATGTTATTTAATAAATATATTAAATGAATTAAAAAAAATTCTAAATTATTCATTAATATACCAATATCAATAAAAGTAGTAGAACACAACTTATCTTGCTAATATTTTTTTTCTTAAATATGTGTTTTTTGAAAAAAGAAAAATAAGAATTGTTCATTTTTTACCAACAAATATTATCTTTTAAAGAATATACTATATTTGTTCAAAAAAATTTACTTGACGTATAAATATATTAAATTCATTAGATTTTTTTGAATTATTTATGAATATAACAATATTGAAAAATTGTAGATAACAATTTATTTCGTTAACATTTTAAAGAGAACTTTAAAATATATGTATTTATTTGAACAATATAAAATAAGAAGTATTACCTTTTTTACAAACAAAATATATCTCCAAAATAATGTTTCATATCTATTTAATAAATATTTTATTCTAAGAATATTTAATTTGCATGCAACTTAATATGAAAAAATAAAAAAATTAAATGTTTTTTTAAATCATAACAATAAAAAATAAACATCACTAATAATAATTTGAAATAGGTTTTTATTTTTATTTTAGTTAAGTTATCAAAATGATGTGTCATTCATCCACATCACCTAATTAAAGCCATACAAGCAAAAAAGTCAATGTGTTAACTGGTTTAAAAGGTAACAGGTTACTCATTGCTATTATGGATAGATTTTTTAAAATATGATGTCTTAATAAATATAATTTGAAAGTACGTTGTTGTGATAAATAAAAACAAAAGTAGAATATCATAATAAGAAAAATTATGAAAATAGATTGTTATTTAATACATTTAACTCATTAAAAAATTACATTTTACACTATTATAATTAGTTATTTAATTTACATTATATTCCTTTGCTTTATCATTTTACACATTTATTATATTAACACATATAATCGTATATTAACTAAAACAAAAAAAATATGTTTTTTTTTTTTTTTAAATTACATCATTACCGTTATTTCGTCAATACGTTCAAAATAAGCATAATATTGAATATTTTTTTATTTTAATCATATTATTAAATACCATAAATACGTACGAATTGCTTTTAACACTTACACTTTTTACCCAATGTTTTTCTATTTAATTTGTAACTAGCGTTTGGTACGCAGACTGGACGGGACGGAACGGGACAGGATGGGACAGGACGGGACAGGACATGACTAATTGCCTGTCCTATGTTTGGTACGACTAGGACAGAACAGGATAAAACTGTTAAAATGACCATATTACCCCTAAATGTTGTTCAATGTTATTTTATATCATATAATGATTGTAAAATGACAACAAATCAACCAAAATATATTTTAATTACATAGTTTTCATGGATCACCTCGGCTACCTCTGCACAAGAATTCGACTTTACAATCAAAAGACTGAGAACTCACAACCAAAGCTCCGTGAACAAGAGCCATATCTTGCTCATTGTGTTATTTACAGTTTTACTCTCATTGAGCAGGATAATTTTTGAAAAATGAGACTGGAATATTGTGGTGACAAAACCACAAAATTATGACAAGTGTATCAAGATTCTCCAACTTAAATAAGACCAAATCCTAATAAAAAAAACTCATGAGTAGCAGGTTGAACAGCAAAATGAAAATAAAAAACGATGACTTACATGGAAAGAAGAACTGACGGGTGTTGAAGGAGGCTCGATAATTGTGTTGGATAATTAGGTTTTTTATTAGAAGAAAAGGGTAACATAGTCATTTTATATTTAGTCTCATGTTGTTCCATCTTTTTTTGGTGGAACAAAAGTTATTAAGTTTTGTCCCATGAAATTTAAAAATAGTTTCATCTTGTCCTATGTATTTTTTGTCCATGGCATTCCAAACATGGGACTATTTTTTTTATCCCGTCCCGTCCCATGTAGTCTGCATACCAAACACTTGTAAGTATTAAAAATAATCCTTACGTATTTATGATATTTAATAATATGACTAAAATAAAAAAAATTAATATTATGCTCGTTTTGAACATATTGACGAGACAATGGTAATGTTATAATTTGTAAAAAAAAGTAAACGTATTTCTTTTAAGTATTTTAGTTATTATACAATTATATATGTTAATATATAATAAATGTATAAAATGAAAACGAAAGAGTAAGAAAATAACTATTTATAACGGTGTAAAATGTAAAAAATTAATCAATTAGAAACTGTACAGTTTTCCATCATAAAGTTCATTTTTTTGCGTAAACTTCTTTTTAATTTATTTTTCTTCATTTTCTCTCTTAAAATAAACTTTACGTGGAAAATCTTTTTTCCACATAAAGTTTTTTTTGTAAACTTTGACTATTTGGAGAAAAAGATATTTATTAATTGCTAAAAAGTAAAACCAATTTAATGAATTGACTATTTAAGTAAATTTCCGAGAGAACCTTAATATCCTTTTATGGATATTTATTTAAATTTGTTGAAGTATTAAATTGATTAAATATTTTAACAATATAATACAAAATAAACAATGTTTTTAGTCCTTATGGTTTGTTAAAATTGCGACTCTCATTCCCGTGCTCTTGAAATCGAAGTTTTTGTCTATATGGTTCGTAATTCATGGTTGTTTTGGTCGTGCGTCTAACTCCGTTCATAGTTAACTCATGAAGCTCGGGAGACGAAATTAAAAAAAACAATGAATCTTATACCATATGAAAGAAAGCATGAACGAATTGTATTACATAAAGATGAAAACCATAATTTCAAAAACAAAAAGACGAAAACAACAGAATTTAATAAACATCAGGTATAAAAAACAACAGAATTTAATAAACATCAGGTATGAAAAACAACAGAATTTAATAAACATCAAGTATGAAAAACATAACTTACTGTATAATAAATGTTAGAATCTTGAAAATAGAGACTTTTTTTAAGGATGTTGAATTACCATAAAACTATCAAAAAAAAAAAAAAAAAAACAATCAATGTATTTTTTCCTTGTTTCGAAATTTAATTTTTGGAATTTTTTCTCTCTTTCAAATTCGGAGAATTAATTTTTCACTCATTTTTTTTTATTTTAGAAAATAGAATATATTGGAGTAAGAAAATATAAGATAACTTCGAAATCTTAATTTTCTTTATTTTAAAGATGCTAGTAGTAGTCAACTAGAATGGTACTCGCGTAATGCAACGATATATACATCTCGATTTTAATGTTCTATTTTATTATTTGTTTCTGTCGATGTTATAATACGATTTTATGTGTTTTTAAGAAATCAATAATAATTTTATTTTTAAATAAAATATAAATTTGAAGATACCATAAAAATTTGAAAAAAATATATCAATGTTAGTATCAAAATCAACTATTTAAAAGTTCTATTTTTTATGTAATTTCTTTAAATTTTTTATTATAATTCAATTTAAGTTTAATAATRAAATAATTTATTTTTGGTTTAATAATWWAMATTTTATAAAAATAATAATTAAGTATTCTGTTAGAACTCAATGATTATAATAATTACATTTTAGATTTTTATATTTAAAATGAGATGTTTATCCTGTATTTGATTATGTTTATCTGCAGTTAGTTACACGAATTCAGATATAAAGCTTTAATAAGTTGTACTTACGCACAATCTACTTGTAATCTTGAGTTTTAAGTAACATGAATTAATAAACAGTATTTTATGTATAAAAAGTGGGTTTTAATAGTTTTTGACAAATGCTTTATAATATAGTATAGATAAGCCAAAAAATGTCTGTTAGGAATTTATGTAAATGTTCACGGTTGATCGATATAGTTGATGAAGAAATGTATATTAATCAAACGATTGTTGATTGCGTCAAAAAAGAATATATATTAACAAAATTCATTTACATATCTTAACCGAATAAGACAAATATTTTCAAACAGTGGATTAATACAATCATCGATCGAGTAATGATATGCCGTCTATAAATTGACGTGTAATCGTGTATAGTGTATGTCATCGATCGATATAGTGTATTTAATCAACTAGTCATATACTATATGCAACATTCATGATGTTTTAGAAAATACAGTTCATTCTAATATGTGAAACACCAATCAATAAAAGTAATTAAAACATGATTATTTAAAGTTTAAAAAAATAAAATAAAATAAAATAAAAAATAGTCTGTTGTTTGATTTATGTACATAAAATGGTTAAAATCCAAGTTCAAATCAAATAAGAAATAAAAATCCCTCAGTGGCCACGGAAATTCAAATGCGATAACTGTAGGCTATCTGCAAAGCAAGTGATCGTACTAAAATTAATCGGCTCGCATAACGAGTTGGATATCCAGGTTAATAAAATAAATGATTAAAATTTTATTATCTAAAAATATTAAAATAATTATTGAAATAAATATACTTCCAAAATTATCCCGACATCAAATCACTCCTCCATCCTTATCACTTTGGACACCTCCCTTCTATTCCTTCCATGCACAAACGACTCGTGTGTGTTTCTTCCATTAATGCCTTTAAAAACTATATATATATATATATATATATATATATATATATATATATTTATTATTAAATTATTAATTTGTTTAACTAAAATAATGGTATTTAAATGGGTGATATAAAAGATATTGGCGAGGGTTGGTTTTTGGTGGTATTAATTGTCCCCAAAGAAAAAGGTAAAGAAGCAACCATATAACCCAAAAAACACACTCAAAAAACCTCTCAAATTAATAACAATGGACTCCTTTCTCTCCCTTCTCATTGCTCTCTCTCTCTCCACCATCACCTTCCTCCTCTTCCGAACAACCACCGCCGTCAGCCGTCGGAAAGTTCGTCTTCCGCCGGGAAACGTGGGTTTACCATTGATCGGAGAGACGCTGCAGCTGATATCCGCTTACAAAACCGAGAACCCGGAACCGTTTATCGATTCACGGGTGGCAAGATACGGGAGCGTGTTCACGACACACGTGTTCGGCGAGCGGACCGTGTTTTGTACTGACCCAGAAACGAACCGGTTCATTTTGCAAAACGAGGGAAGGTTGTTCGAGTCGAGTTACCCCGGTTCGATATTTAACTTGGTTGGGAGGCACTCTTTGTTGTTCATGAGAGGACCGCTTCATAGGAGAATGCATTCTTTGACTATGAGTTTTGCCAACTCCACAATCATTAAGGACCATTTGTTGGTCGATATAGACCGGTTGGTCCGACTCAACCTACAATCTTGGACCGGACGGATTCTACTCTTGGAGGAAGCCAAGAAGGTAGGTATACTACTTGGGTTTTTTTATGCTGTTTTAATTTCATAATAATAATAATAACGTGGCAGCTTTTTAAGTTGTACTTTGTGCATCAATCGTACCAATTTTACACAGTGGACTACGGGTCAAACCGGCTGAAGAAGGACGTTCAGTAAACAAAACCATGATTATATTTTAATGTGTTGATGAAAATATGAATTGTAAAGAGAGACATGAGGATGAATGATAGCACCATGTGCATGGGTTATGATCTTATGTAGTGACTTGGTGGAAGCTTCCATTCCAAAAGTGTTATGATCATCATTGTTCTAGATTTAGATTTGGATAACGACAACGTAAGTAGTAATCATCGTTTCTATCCAATGTACAGATAACCTTCGAGTTAACGTTGAAGCAACTGTTGAGCATCGAACCATGTGAGTGGACAGAGAATTTAAGGAAGATATACATGCGAGTCATTGAAGGCTTCTTTTGCATTCCGATTCCGATCTTCTCCCTCACTTATCGTCGTGCATTACAGGTATACATATATATATAACTGATACTGTCGTCATTTCTTTATGTTTATGGATTGAATTATTTAATGAAGGCAAGGAGAAGGGTGGCGGAGGCGTTGAGTTTGGTGGTGAAGGAGAGGCGAAGGGAATGGGAAATGGGGATGAAGAAGAATGATATGCTGACGGCGTTATTCGACAGTGGTGGTGGTGGAATTGGGTTTTCCGATGATGAAATTGTGGATTTCTTGGTGTCTCTATTGGTGGCAGGCTACGACACGACGTCAACCACCATGACTCTGGCCGTTAAATTCCTCACCGACACACCCATTGCGCTTGCTCACCTCAAGGTTGGCTCTCTTTATTAATATTCACTTTCAAAGGCCGAATTAGAGCTACCTCTAAAATTTAGCACCAAAATTTTAAAATTTCTAAAAAAAATTAATATTCATCTTTAAACGGTTTTTTATTTAATATTAATTATAATTTTAAAATATTATTTTTTTCGTTAAATATTTATTTTTTAAAAGTTGTCAAATGACAATCATTTTCGGAGTCTTATCCATATTTGAAGAAAAACGCCACTTTCTTTTACTTTCTTTAATTTAAAGGTAATTTTAAGAGAATTATTACACCAAAATATTGACTCAAAATTATCATTTTTTTTATTTTAAATAAGTTGTTGAAGATGTTATTACTATTACATCTAAGCTTTTGATTTATTGAAAATGATATTATAATTTATATAATATTAAAACATTAAAAATAGAATTAAAATAATAATATAGGCACTTTTTTTAAATAAATTAGAATAATAATAATAATATAAATATTTATCTTAAAACTTTCAAAATAAAAAAAATACACTTTTGTCTCGATAAAATAATTATATTACACATGTAAAAAACATGAAAATAGTGAAAATAAAAGTATAAACATTTAGAGTATTTCCAACCGTTTTTAAAATTGAGGAAAATCAAGAAAATAATGATTCTGAGCTTATATTTTGCTCCAAAAGTTTATTTTTAATTATTTTCAAAACGAAAGAAGTAAGAGAGAGAATGTTTTTGTTTCATACATGAATATCATCCTAAAAATGATTACCAGATGAGAATATCAATATAAAATTGTCTATTGAAAGTGTAGTTATCTATACTATATTATAAAACATTTGACAAAAACTCTTAAAAATCATTTTTTATGCATAAAGTACTGTTTATTAATGCATGTTACTTAAAACTCAAGATTACAAGTAGATTGTACGTAAGTACAACTTGTTAAAGTTTCATATCTGAATTCGTGTAACTAACTGCAGATAAACATAATCAAATACAGAATAAACATCTTATTTTAAATATAAAATATAATTAGGGTAATTATTGAATTTTAATAGAATACTTAATTATTATTTTTATAAAATGTTATATTATTAAACAAAAATAAATTATTTCATTATTAAACTTAAATGAAATTATAATAAATAAAAAGATTATATAAAAATTAAGAATTTTTAAATAATTGATTTGATATTAACACTGATATATATTTTTTAAAATTTTTATGACATCTTCAAATTTATATTTTATTCAAAAATAAAATTATTATTGTTTTCTTAAAAATACATAAAATCATATTAATCAAGATGTATCTCACTGTATTGCACGAGTACCCTTCTAAGTCACAATAGAATAAGTGATTTAGGGGCCGTTTACTAAACGTTTATCGAAAAGTGCTTACCGGGTAACTTTTCTTACCAGCTAAACATGACAAGAGTCAAAAATCTTACCCGGTAAGAATAATGATAAAGATGAAGAGTCTTACCCGGTAAGTGAGAGTAACGACTCTTACTCGGGTAAGTGCTTATCGGACAAATTGTTACATATGATATCATTTTGATGTACTAAAATCTTACTCGGTATGATAAATTATAATATTGACTCCTAAAACTATAAACATTTAGATAAACGAACCCTTAATAATTTAAAAAACATGAAAATAGTAACATGTGAAGGGAGGTATGATATGGGGGATCGTGTGGCACGAGAGTCGAAGGGCATTTATTCAACACTTTAGGCCTACGTTGACTTCATGACTTGCTAACATCATCTTTATTAAAACCATTTATATATTAAATATATTTTTTTTGCTTTTAATTGATAAATTAAAAGAACCCCAAAGCTCGATGCACAAATTGATGGTCAATGACACTACAATTATGAATCAATCGTTGCACGAATTCTATTATTATTTTATATTTCACATCTTTTAAATTAAAAAAAAATATTATTCCAATAATTCACATCAACTATTATTTATAGGAGGAACATGATGAAATCAGGGCGAAAAAGGCTACTTCTATGGCTCTCGAGTGGGAAGACTACAAATCCATGCCGTTCACACAATGCGTAAGTGAGACGTACAGTTTTAAAGAAACGTCTATCAACATTTCAAAAGCGATAGATTGTATTTCGGAAATTTTAATCTAAATCATTCTTTTTTTAGGTCATTAATGAAACGTTGAGAGTCTCCAACATAATTGGTGGCCTATTCAGGAGGGCAATGACTGATGTTGATATCAAAGGTACACTCGATACATATTTATTGACATATTTACTGCTTTTTACATAGAAAGTTACGCATGTTTTTGGTGTCAGAATTTGCAGCAATCGAATTATTAATTTTTTGAACGTATGTTTTAAATAGGTTATACAATCCCAAGAGGATCGAAAGTGTTTACCTCACTCCGGGCCGTCCATCTTGATCAAGACAATTTTAAAGATGCTCGTGTTTTCGATCCTTGGAGATGGCAGGTCTTTAATCCCCCTCTGGCCCTACCTTACGTTATTGATTCTAATGATTGTATTAAGTCAGTTTATCGATTTTAAACAACATTTAATTCATAATACGATAATACCAGCTCATTTCTGTAATTATTGTCATAAATAGAAAACGTCAGACCCAACAACCTTTATGCCATTTGGAGGGGGACCTAGGAGATGCCCGGGGTACGAGCTAGCCAGAGTCGCACTGTCTGTGTTCCTTCACCATCTCGTTACTCGATTTAGGTAAGCATTGGTACGTTTTCAAATTCAATTATGTATATATTAATTTGATTGACTATATTTTGTCTAAAAGTTGGGAGCCTGCTGAAGAAGATAAGTTGGTGTTCTTCCCTACGACAAGGACTCAGAAACGATATCCCATCATCGTGCGACATCGTAGTAACGTAGCCGAGCCCGAGCAATGTAGAGAATAGAGAGGAAATCTCTATATAGTTTTGGAAATTTTAAGATGCAAGAATATGTAATGAAAATTGTAGTTCCATACGACGTATTCAAATTTGAATACATATAATTTATAAAAATCTCTTTATAGATTATTTTGATTGTTTCATATTAGTTATATATTGTATATATATGTTATATAGACTTGGGATTATGTGAGACTAACGGTTTTTCGTGAGATCCGTAAGACCAATTCTTAACCTTTGGATTAGATCTACAATCTGAACATTCATAATTACAAAATTGCCATGAGACTTCTCAATAATMACAAAATTGTCACCGTGCAACTTTAGACCATTAGATGATTAGCTTATAAAGTTGATCAATGAACATAAATTGGTCTTACAGGTCTCACCAAAAACCTTTGGTCTCACGTGAACCCAACCATATATATATATATATATAGGGAAGATCAAATGTTAACGAATAACTTTGTGTTAACTTTGAAAACCATGTCAACCAATCAATTTTGTGATTATGAATGTTCACATTGTAGATCTAATCCAAAGGTTGAGAATTGGTCTTACGGATCTCACGAAAAACCTTTAGTCTCACATGATCTCAAATCTATATAACATATATATACAATATATAACTAATATGAAACAATCAAAATAATCTATAAAGAGATTTTTATAAATTATATGTATTCAAATTTGAATACGTCGTATGGAACTACAATTTTCATTACATATTCTTGCATCTTAAAATTTCCAAAACTATATAGAGATTTCCTCTCTATTCTCTACATTGCTCGGGCTCGGCTACGTTACTACGATGTCGCACGATGATGGGATATCGTTTCTGAGTCCTTGTCGTAGGGAAGAACACCAACTTATCTTCTTCAGCAGGCTCCCAACTTTTAGACAAAATATAGTCAATCAAATTAATATATACATAATTGAATTTGAAAACGTACCAATGCTTACCTAAATCGAGTAACGAGATGGTGAAGGAACACAGACAGTGCGACTCTGGCTAGCTCGTACCCCGGGCATCTCCTAGGTCCCCCTCCAAATGGCATAAAGGTTGTTGGGTCTGACGTTTTCTATTTATGACAATAATTACAGAAATGAGCTGGTATTATCGTATTATGAATTAAATGTTGGTTAATCATTATAAAAACTTGTTTTTTTAAATTTAGAATTTTATAAAGATAAGTGAACAAAGTTGAAAATGGTATTTAGGTAAAAAAATTATGTAACTCCCATATCATTAATTAATTGGGAGTTACAAAATCAAAAATTCTATGATTTTTGTTAATTTATTTTTGTTAATGTAAGAAAAATATGAACACAACTATATATATATATATATATATATATATATACCATTGTGTCAATACGAACAAAAATTGACATATATATGAACTTGGACTGCATAGCATTTATGAACACAATATGAACATAATAAGAATAACTGTTATACGAAAGTAAATGAATGGTTCATATGATAGAAGTAACATGAACACGATGGTTCATGATTCATAAAAGTCGGTAATATGACAATATGAAAATGAGTCGTGCATGTACTTCCATTTAAACATGTGAATTAGGTACGTATTTTAATAATTAAAGAAAAAAACTATCAATACAAGATGAATTATAAAAAACACAACACATCGTAATGAACATAATTTCGATTAAAACGAATCTAAAAAAAATAAAAATTTATTAACAAGACATTCGCTTTGGTTAATTTCTTTAATTTCCGACCTCGAACTCCAATTGTCATCATAAACCATTTTAATCTTCTCACTGTTGTCGATTTATTTTCCATAGCGTTTATCCATATTAGCTTGATCGATACCGAAATTTTTTACTACCTTGTTTTCTATGCGAATTAAAAACTGATAAAACAATGAACATGCAAGATCAAGATTATAAAAAATTAAAATATTAATATTATAAATGCATATTTTTTGGGATTTGATGATTTGTAACTCCCCAATAATTGTTTGGGAGTTACATATCATATCAATTTACTGAAATACCCTTGTAATTAAAATGTGAACATGACATAAACTTACAATAAGAATGGAATTTGATTGGTTGTCATGGTTTTCAAAGTTAACATAAAATTATTAGTTAACATTTGAACTTCCATACATATATATATATATATATATATATATATATATATATATTCAAATTTATAATTCCAAATTCTAAGTCGAGGTGTGACATACTGGGCCTCTTGGTTTAGACATGTCTAGTTTCTTGAAGGATATGGGCCATTTGGGCCCATAAATGATTTTTTTCAAAAGCTCGATTGAGTTGACTCGGCAGTCGGCACCATAACTCGGATTGGAGATATAATGCTTACGAAATCGTGAGCTTCTTATAATTTTTTAGTAAAAGTCACGACAACAAAATTAATTTTATAGGACGCCTAAAATGTAGAAGCGTGTTAAAAAGATATATTTTACGACTTGAGTTTTTAAGATCAAACTAAAAAACGTCTTCTCTAAAAGTGTTACTATATGTTTATAGGACGTTTTTAGGCATTTTAACATTTATAACGATTTTAAAATAAGGTGTCATATTAACAATTTTATATAACGTTATTTGGAAAAATGTTCTATAAACACAAGTGTCATATAAAAAGATGGGTTTATAGGACATATTTCAAAACTGTCATATAAATAGGTAATAGAATACTTTATTTTAAAAACGTCCTATAAACCTAATTAGTTCTATAAAAACATTCTATTAGGATGTGTAGACAATCTTGACGTCCTATAAAGCTAATTTTGTTGTAGTATCTTACTTATAACTTTATGTTTCCAATTGCAACGGGCTTAAGATAATGCATATGCACATATGTATAAAGCTGTATCTAAATCGAAAGAGTAAATTACAAATTTCGTACCTGTGGTTATATGTGAATTATGGATTTGGTCTCCTGAACGGAATAATTACATCAGTCATTGTGGTTTCACTTTTGTAACCGCTTGGGTCCCTTATCCTAACTCCCACTAACTGCAGCTCCATTAAGTCAGGGGCGATATTGTCTTTTTACTATTTTCCCTTAAAACATAAAAATAATATATATATATATATATATATATATATATATATATATATATAGGGACCTAATCAAATGAGAACTGATTAGTTTGTATTAACTGTGAAGTCCAATCTCAACCACAAATCAACGGATAAATTAGGAAATTAATAATTATGGTAGTTTGAGTTAAAATTATAATTAGAGGGCATATTAGGTATTTTTAAAAAAACTTCTCCCTCCTCTCTCCTCTCTCATCTCTCCGACTTCCAATCTCAGGCCTCCGGTGAAATCGGTATCACAGTATATCACAATGGATATCACATTGTGTATCTTTGTTTTTAAGGTTTGAGTTTGTATCATAGTTGGTATCACAATGGTATCACAATATATCACAATGGGTATCACATTGTGTATCTTTGTGATTACTTGGTATTTGCCGGATTAATGTTCATCGAAGGCCGGAGATTGGAGGTCGGATAGATGAGAGAGAAGAGGTGAGTTTTTTAAAAATACCTAAAATGCTCTCTAATTATAATTTTAACTCAAACTACCATAATTATTAATTTCCTAATTTTATCCGTTGATTTGTGGTTGAGATTAGATCTCACAGTTACCACAAACTAATCAGTTCTCCCTTTAATATATATATATATATATATATATATATATGAGACGTTTCATTTGCAAACCAGTTCATTCTAACAAAGTATTCAAACCGATCTCCATCATTCATTTCATTAAAAAAAATTATTTTCCTTTTTTTAAATTTATTTTGTAAAGGGTAGTTTAGGGTTTTAAACGTTTTTTTTTTGTTTTTTTTAATAAATTTTTATGTAGTTTATGCATGTGTGATTTTGTAGGATCTCATTGATTTATTTCGGTTACTGATTGGGGTATCGTCTTCTTCTTTAATGTATATTGTTCTCGTTCATGAAATGTTATTGTTGATTAGGATATTGTTCTTGGTCGAAATATGGAAAAAATCTATAGAAGAAATTCTGAAAAAATGGGTGTTACACGTTTCATGAACGAGATTTACATTAGTGATGTATTTGATGTTGTTGATATCATAGGTTTATCGAAGACAATGAGGTCGAATGATTTTGTATACTCTAAAACGACCAAAGATGATGTTGTGATGGGAAAGGATGACGGATTACCATCCTGATGAGGAGAGTAATAAGGTTATTTATTTATTTCATTGATCTTATGTTGTAGTATGTATGGTTTTTTTGTTGATTGTTGTTTTGTTTTTATGTAGATGGTATATCTCAATATATGGAAGAGGCTTCTAATGATAGTAAGGGGGTGTTTGAGATTGTTTATTTGAAACAACTTATGCTTTTCTACAAAAACACTTATCAACTTATTATAAGTCAGAAGGGTTTAATTTCTTCAAAAACTTCTTATCACCGGTTTGACACCGACATAAGTTATTTATCCAAACACTCAAAAATGTTTATCACCGGTGCCACACCGGATAAGTCAATAAGTTTTTTCTATAAGTAATCCCAAACACCCCTTAATTATTGGGTTCTCATAACTCTAATTAATTTTTAGAGTTGTTATATGTTTTATTGTAACATCCAATTTCTAATATGCCCAAATTAGTTGCTAAGTATATTTAATTATTAGGTTAAAAAGAATATTATGTGAGAAGTTGTGTTTCATGTTATGTCAAAGTGGAAAATTTTACTTAGTGTTTTAGTAATGTCCTTATAAGAGAACCTATGATTTAGTGGGAGTTTGGGTTTGAAATTTTAGAATTATACTTCTTAGGAATATATTAGAGGCTTTGGGAAAATTTCACGTCAAATAGATATGTAAAATTGATTTTTTTGGGAGATTTTCTCTAGAATATTTTTGTTGGATGTTATAGATTATCTCTTTATGAACGTGTAGGCGAAAACCTCATAGAAAACGGAGGTCCGAACGAWAAGTTATGAATATTTTAAGTGTTGATAGTCAAAATGGGTACCTAGCCGGGTCAACCAGACCCAACTCGGGTTTTTGCATAATAAATTGGATTTTTGGCTCATTTTT